GACCAGGGGCTGCACCTAGGGATTGGGCCTGCCCTCTGCCACCCGGGAGCAGGCCTAAGCCAGCAGGTCGTTATCTCCCGAGGGGGTCCCAGACTGCGAGAGGGCACAGGCCAGGCCGAGGGACCCCCCTCCCCCCGAGTGCACATATTTTTGTGCACCGGGCCTCTAGTTATTAATATAGTCGGAGAGATGCAAGGCTATTGCATCCATGAAGCAAGAGTAGGTATTATAAAGATGAATTAAATTGGAGAACTTGACAATCTAAAGCATAATGTTTGAAATAAAACACTCAGTAGATGGGTTGAATGGCAGAATCGATACACTGAAGAGTGAACAGTGCACTGGAAGATTAGCTGTAGAGATTCTCTCAGATGCAGTAAGAAAATGGAAGTATGAAAGCCACGGAAGGTTGAGCAGGAAGTGCAGACATCAGTCTGATAGCAGTGACAGGAGAAAGTGGAGACCTGGAGGGCAGATATGGCAATGTTCTCTGTTATTTCAGCAACTGCACTTCTCCAGCCCTTCTTCCTGTTGCACAGCCTGTCTCCCATGATGGAGGCTGAAAATGCTCACACATTGCTTTTCCGGCCACTCTCGCAGCTGGGGCCTGGCTGTGTGACCCAGTCCTGATCATGGGGACCTGACAGGACCTAGCAGAACGGTATTTCCCCACAATACCAGAGATGCATAAGGAACAACGGCTTTCCTGTGCAGGTGTGTGAGGAGAAACTCCCAGAAGCCACAGTGGCCCTCTTGCAACCACAAAGAGACAAAAGCAATGCTGAAAGAAAGGTGACCCTCGAGTCCTTGAATTTTTATAAAAATATACTTTTACTTATTTCAGAGAGGAAGGGAGAGAGACAGAAACATCATTGCCCCTTGCGTGCGCCCTACTGGGGATCGAGCCCCTAACCTGGGCACGGAGCCCCCAACCTGGGCAAGTGCCCTGACCAGGAATCAACTGTGACCTCCTGGTTCATAGGTCGATACTCGACCACTGAGCCACGCAGGCCAGGCTTTGTATGTTTGGATGTTAATCCCCTATATGTTTTAGACATTGAAAATACCTCCTTCCATCCTGTAACCTGTTAACTTTGTTTATGTGGTATCTTTTAGGGATAGAAATAGTTTTCATGCAATCAAATCTTGTTTGTTCTCCCGTTCGGTTTGTGTTTTTGGAGTTGTAAATTCTTCCCTACTCTAGGTCACAAAGTTCATCCTACTTTTTATTCAGTCAGTTTTGTAGTTTCCCTTTCACATTTAGTTTCTTAACTCGTCTGAAGTTCACTCTTAATTGATGATGTTAGGTAGTGATCCAGTTTTTCCTACTTCACCTAAGAAGTGATCTATTGCCATTGTATGGAAGGTGCCTATATATAAATGGGTCCTTCTTAGAGTTCTCTATTTTTGTTCCATTTGTCTTTTGCAAATTATGGCCTTGCAATATGTCTCAATATCTGGTAGAGCAAGCCTCCTTTTCCCCAGTTCTTTTTTTTTCTTTTTTTTTTGTTAATCCTCACCTGGTGATATTTTTTTCCATTGATTTTTTAGAGACTGGAAGGGAGGGAGGGAGAGGAGAAAGAGAGAAATATCCATGTGAGAGAGACACATCGATTGGTTGCCTCCCATAGGTGCCCCGACAGGGAGCAACCCAGGGCCAACACTCTAATCACTGACCCACACCGGCCAGGGCCAATTACTCTTCTTTTTTAAGGTTATGTAAACCATTCATTGTCCTTAATATATATTTTAGAGTATTTTTATTCTTTTTTTAAAACTTGAATTTTGTTTGTACTTATAGATTTGGAGACAAGTGCTGAACAGAATAAATAAGAAAAAAAAAACAAAAACAGCCCTGGCTGGTGTGGCTTAGTTGGTTGAGCATCGTCCTGTGCACCTAGGGGTCACCAGTTTTGATTCCTGGTCAGGGCACATACCCAGATTGTGGGTGCAATCCCTGGTAGGGGAGTGTACAGGGGGCAACCAACTGATGTTTCTCTCTCTCCCTCTCTCTCTAAAATTAATAAAAACATATGTTAAAAAAGAAAAAAACAAACAAAATAATGTAATAATGACATTTCACAGCATCAAAAATAAAAAACATTCTTAAAGTTATCAGAGAGAAAAGCATATTACTGAGAAAAGAATAAGAATCTGACTTTCTTTTTTTTAAAAAATATATTTTGATTTTTTTACAGAGAGGAAGGGAGAGAGACAGAGAGTCAGAAACATTGAGGAGAGAGAAACATCGATCAGCTGCCTCCTGCACCCCCCCCACTGGGGATGTGCCCGCAACCCAAGTACATGCCCTTGACCGGAATCGAACCTGGGACCTTTCAGTCCGCAGGCCGACGCTCTATCCACTGAGCCAAACCAGCTTCAGCAAGAATCTGACTTTCATCTGCAACAGCAGACATGAGAAACAGTAGAACATATGGAAAAAACAGAGCATCAGTGTGTGTTCTTGTTTCAGAAAACTTCAGGATGTATCTTTAAACTCAAGCTTGATACCTCAGGGAGACCAGAGAACTGAACTGTTCTCCTTGCCTCGTTTTACAAGTTATCCATACAGTTGGCCCTCTGCTAAGTGTCCACATGTGTCACATTTGGGGATTCAACCAACCCAACCAATCGCAGATTGAAAATATTTCGGGGGGCGGGGGGCGGGGGAGGGAAGCTACATTGTTGCTGACATGTACTATGTAGTTAGGCCTACCATGGTTAGAATGGTTATATCTGTACTGAACATGTACCGACTATTTTTCTTGTCATTATTCCCTAAACAATACCAAGGGATGGTGCTACATTGGAGGCAAAATCAGAGGAAATGCATAAATAATTGAGACCATTTATAATTTGGGTGAGTCGTAATAGGCATATGTTATAAACTAATATTTCTTTTTAAAATTTAAATTAAACTAAATTTATTTCCATCACCATGTATCCCCTCTATGCTCTCTTGGGCCAATATTTCTTACTGTTGATGTTTTGATTTTATTCAATTCTTTAAAACATGGTTTGTAAGCTTTGGAGTTAACACTGGGATAAGGGGATTTTATTTCACATGTTGAGGAAAAAAGATTTTACATAAAATATTTTGATATCTCAAGGATATACTATCTCCGCCAAGAAGCAGAGCAAGGAGGGCTATCACTTATGGTATCAAAAGAACATGTCAAATTTAACGTGAGACTTTTTACTCTGCTTGATCAAGGTTCTTTCTTTAGCTGGCTGAGTTGTAAATATGTATTCTATATCTTTGCATTTCTTATTGCTACAGAGGATGGCAAACCATGTTATAAATCCTGCATAATCAAAGTATTTTTAGGTGCACAGATTGCTTCCTTCAAGAAGAGACTTATCTTTTTTGTGTGTCACATCTCTCTTATTTAAGACAGAATTATGCTTTCCAGTTTTACAAACACTTTCTTCAAAGTGCTGAAAGAAAACTAAATGTGACAACTAGATATTCTATTCCAGCCAAACCACTTCTCAAATTTGGGGAGTAAGTATAAATAATTAGAGGTACACCGAAGCCTAGAAAATTTGCCACCCATAGACTCACTCTGAAAAAACTACTTTTTAGTGATTTTAGTTAGATTTCCTGGGGACAAGAGTCCAGGGTCTGTTTTCTCCAGAAGTGAAACATCTGCCCGGCCCTAGGAACGCTCCAACAACCTAGGTGCATGCGAAGGATGCGCCTATGGACTACGTCAGTTTTCAGTCGGTTTTTTTGATAGAATACATGCTCTACGAAGAGAAATGAAAGAAAATGAGGTACAAGAAGAAATAGCGAGGTAATAAATGAGTGAAAATTACTTTCTAAATATTAATTGGATTAAAATTTAGAGAGAGTAGATGGGAGGGAGGGGGCTGGAGAGGGGGGAGAGAGAGAGAGAGAGAGAG